TTTTATTCATTTCCTGTAGAATAGATGTTGATCTTGGAGTACAAGTAGGCTCTTCAGTATTTCTAATATGAATGTTTAGAGGTAGGCTAGTCATTAACTTGTTCTGAGTTGTGTTCTCAGTATATGTTTCTGCTTACTGTCAAAGGAGTGGCAGACAGTGCGTTACGTATATAGAGTTTTGCTAAAACAAGTTAGACTTGTTTTAGCATTAAAATGCCTTTTGTCTTCTCCTCCCACCCCCATGATGAGCCATTAACGTTCTACCTTCTTTCTATGAACAAGTGCAACATGACATCTTCTGCAGATAATTCTTTGGGTATCTGACATATACACTAATGGGTAGCTCTCTGGTCTTGGGAGGTACTTTAAAAACACTGCTGAGCATATGCCTGGGAAGAGCATATGATTGCCTATGAATAGGCTTTGTGCAGTTATCTGCAAGCAATATCAATTACCACCATAGATTGAGTTAGTCCAAGTTTTGGCAATGTAAAAAAAACCCAGGCGTTGACTCCAGCCACTGATTCAGATAGTCTTCTGTGATGTTTACAGGGGACCCACTGCTTGACCAGCTATATTCTCCCTGCAAGCAATATTTTGTAGGCACCTGTCTGTCATCTGAGCAGAACTAATGAACATTACAGAATCACAGAATCGTTTAGGTTGGAAGGGACCTCTGGAGATCATCTAGTCCAACCTCCCTGCTCAAGCAGGGTCACCTAGAGCATATTGCCCAGGATCACATCCAGACGGGTTTTGAATATCTCCAGCGAAGGAGACTCCACTACCTCTCTGGGCAACCTGTTCCAATGCTCTGTCACCCTCACAGTGAAGAAGTTTTTTCTCAGGTTCAGATGGAACTTCCTGTGGTTCAGTTTCTGCCCCTTGCCTCTTGTCCTGTTGCTGGGCACCACGGAGAAGAGGCTGGCCTCATCCTCTTGACACTCCCCCTTCAGATACTTGTACACGTTGATGAGATTCCCTCTCAATCTTCTCTTCTCCAGGCTGAACAGGCCCAGCTCTTGCAGTCTTTCCTCATAGGAGAGGTGCTCCAGCCCTCTAATCATCTTGGTAGCCCTCCGCTGGACTCCCTCCAGGAGTGCCATGTCTCTCTTGTACTGGGGAGCCCAGAACTGGACACATTGCCTAGTTATACTTCCTGCTCTTTTGTCCCGAGGGTGTCCTGGCTGAAGGTGGAGGGAGTTGGAAAGCTTGATGGAATTATGCTGCAGTAATGGATTAAAACGTTTCTTAAGTGAAAAATTCTCTATCTAGTAAGGAGTGTCCGAGGGCGTTACGCAGTCATCAGGCTTGATCTGTGCCATCGTATGTAGCCAAGGACAGGATTTTTTGCCTGACAGGTTTTTAGAAATGTAAGGAGCAACTCAGCCCCTTTTTTAACCTCATACGTTCTAGGAAACCTTGCAGGGCTTTTCCTGCTCCTGTGGTAAAAAGAATCCAAGATCTTTAAAGCAGAATTTTCTAAGGCTCATAATGCAATATTTCAGATTGGATTTTTTTTCAATATATTTCAGTAATTCCCTGTTGATCTTTAACAAACAGATGTCTAACCCTTCTGTTTGTTTTTATGTAGGGTGATGAGCATGCTCGAAGGTCCTCTCTCCTTAACAGTGATGAACTGTTGGTTTACTACTATGATGATGTGAGAACAGTTTATGATATCTTCCAAAGGGGTGTGCATGTATCAAGTAAGTTTAAAGATGAATTTTTCTACATTATGTTAAGAACTAAAGGTCTGGACTCTTTTGAAATGCAGTTGAGGGGGGGGAATATGTGATGTCTACCTAGCAATAAGAAAATGCATTGGGTGTGGCCTTTCTTGAAGGCAAACTTAATCGTGACCTATTGTGAAGCAAGGATGTGTGAATAGTCTGTGCTGTGCTGCATAGTCAGAACTAAACCTGGCTGCCTCCATGTCCTTCCCCTGCTTCCATTCTGGTGTTGCTCCTCTCTCCTTCCCTTCCTCCCTTTCCCTTAACCCCTAAAATAGTTTGGTTTCTGAAGGTGTCTGCAAAGAATTCACAGGCTGTCAGCTTAACATTGGCAAGAGTGTAGTTAGTGTGGTGCCAGGACAGAGAAAGCGGGCTTTACACCCTGACTAACTTTTGATTGCCATTTGTAGATAATGGTCCCTGTCTGGGCTTTAGAAAGCCAAACCAGCCATATGAGTGGATCTCCTATAAAGAGGTAAGTAGCCTTTTTAGCTTACTGCTAGATCTACTTCTGCATCCTGTGTGACCATTGATACAACATCCAGTGATGTGATATAACAGCTACAAATAATTAAGACTTGTTTTAAAGTAGTATCTTAAGCTGCTTTTACAATGTCAAAATATTGTAGAAAGATACTAGTTCTTGTTGGAATACTCTAAAAGAACAGCATTAAAAAGTTTGCAAATTGGGGAGGAAAAAGTGCACTTCTTGTGCTTACTTAGCTTATTCATTCACTCTTATATTTCTGAATGTTTTGAGGGTATCTTGGAAGCTGTTAGCATCTCTGTTGCTGTGAATTGTTTAGAACTTGTACGCTGCCTCTGAAGGGCTGCAGCTTTCAAGTAGTGTTCAGGGTTAGGGCTTGAACTGCTGCTACCATAGTCGCTTGTTTCTGAGACCAGTTTTACGCTGGGAAAGTCCTATCTACGAATCTTATCCGTGCTTTTTGATGGTTTATCTCCTTACTGATGAATGGTAGTTTTATAGTGTACACAGACAGGCTTTTAATTAGTAGCAGTGCTTTCTGTTCACTGAAAATAGATCTTTATGCAGATTGTTTTTAACAGCTGTGTACTTTCAGATCATTCCTGATTAAATCAGGAGATGCCTTCAAACTTATATAAACCTTGCTTTGTGTGTATGATTAGGGTCATTTAAAAACCTCTTGTAAGTTGCAGAACTCACTTCTTCTAGCAAAATCACCTTGGTGTTTGTTAGATACAACCTTTCTTTAATAGAGCTTCTTTTGTACAAGATGTTACTAACAGGGATTCGGATCATGTGCTATATGGAAAGAGAAATGGGATAATTGCCTTCCCAGAACCATTGTTTGCAGAATTAACTGGGTTTTGCCTTTTTTTAAGGGCTTTTGCTTGGAATCTCCCAGGTCCTCACAGGCACTAGGAGTTCAGTGCTTCCCAGAAGAGTGAGGCAGAAGCATGACATATGTAGCATTTACAATTGTTGAGCAGAAATATAAAGTTGAATCATTCCAGGGTCATTTCTGGGGTTTAACACAAATGCAGTAAAACAGCCTTTTTCTCTGCTTGTCAGCTTCAAATACCATCTTATGCTTTCAAGTCCAATTGGATTAGGTGTCTCTTCTGATGTATATTGGGTGCAAGTGTTATATCTAAAATCAATGCAGTGTAATAGCATTGCAATGTTTATCAAAGTCACGGAGGGCACCAAAGAGTCAAGAGAACCTATCTGTCTACTTCATATTGGTTATTGTGATGGGGGGTATTGTGAGGGTTGTGTGTTTTGTATGTGTTTTTTTTTTTTTTTTTTGGGGGGGGGTTTTTTGGGTTTTTTTGGTTTTTTTTAGTTGCATGTGAGACTTATGGTAAAATAATGTTCTGGGTGGGGTGTACTAATGAGCTTGCTTTTTTTTTTTTGACTTTTTTTAGGCTTTAGACAGAGCAGAGTGTGTGGGTTCAGCATTACTTCACCGAGGCTTCAAACCGTCTCAAGTTCAGTATATAGGAATCTTTGCACAGAACAGACCAGAGGTAATTTAAGTGAGGGAATTTGTACTAGTGATCTAGCTACTATTGAAATGGTCCAGTTTTCTTTTAAATCTACTGCTTTTTGGCAGTGTACCAAGCTTCCCTAGCAAGCAAAATATTTGGGATTGGGAAAGAGATGATGGCCAGTGTCCCTAGGCCCACAAGACATACACATGGCATCATTAGCTGAGAACCAAAATTGACAATTAACACAACAGTTAGTCTTATATGCTTTTTTTTTCCTCTCACAGAGCTGCATGCAGAGCAATAAAAGAACCAGAAAACCTAAAAGAGCTTAGCTTTTGTCCCCTCCCCTTTCCGGCTTATAAAGTCCTGCCTAATAGGAAGTGAATGTGGTATTTATTTGATTGACTGTAATCCACACTCACTTTCTCTTAAAATGTGGCATTGACATATTTCGTAATTGAAATTTGGTTGAAAGTCTTTGCTTAACAAGCACAAATAGGAAGAGTCTTTATGGTTTCATAGAATCTTTCCTTCCAAATAGCCTTGCATTACACAGGAATAAACTCTGTGCTGTGATGTATCCAGAGTTTCTATTCATGGTGTTCGGGTACAGACCAACACTTTATTGGTTCCTTACAGCTTCTTTGTACAGTCAAACTTACTAGCTTGGGGTCCTTTTCTGCAGTGGAAGCAAGTCCTGGGTACTTCTTCCAAAGAGTGTATATGATGAGTGTGTATCCAGTAACTCAAGGTTAGTTCCAATAATGTTAAGTTGCGTGAAGATGTTTAAACACCTCAAAAACCGAAGAAACACTTGATGGTGACCAAATACTTGAACAGATGGAAAATGACTGAAGGTAATACTCGTATTGCCACCAAAAAGGCCGTAAAGGCCAAGATTCTGGGAGGGAGAGCTGACAATGAAGGCAAAAATTAAAAACTAATTGAAAGTTAATAACTGAGAGCTGAAAGAAGGCTAAAGAACATGACATAATTCAGCAACGTCATCTGACAAAGCAAAATCAGGTTACAAACCTCAAACTAGATTGATTAGCTAGTGTTTCTCCATCTTAACTCAGGAGTGGTTCTTGCTAGCTGTTACTTAAAAGCAGTATGAACTACTGAGTAAACGTTTCTGTTCTCTGGGCTAGACTATTAAATCTAGTAGGACTGAACTTCTCTAAGCACATGCTTAGTAGTTTGAATTGGTCCTACCTTAATTAAGCTAGTTCCAATCCAAACCTCGATCTTAATAGAGGAGAATAGTTCTTATAGTACGTTTTAGACAAAACTTCCTTCTTGAAAGACCCTAACTAGTTTCCGTTATCTGGAGCCATGTCAAATGTTTGCACAGTTAAAATCTGTATCAGTGTCTCAATGTGGGACAACAGTTTGCTGTTGGCTCTCTTGATTTCAGTTTGTCACCAACCCTTCCCTGCTGACGTTTTAAATTCAACTGTGTGGCAAATGACATGACCAGTCTTCTCTGCACCTCCCAACAAACCACAAACTGACACAAAAAACCCCCTATCCCTAGCCTGGTACAGATGAAGAAAATATTTTTCCAGACTCTTAAATTTGTGTTAATTTGCTGCTTGGGTTTTCCCTCTGGTGTTCTGGTTCTAACAGCTACAGTTATTTCTGTAATAAAAAAGATAGGACATCTCCAACAAGGAAGCTCTTAGAATTGAAGAGTCTAATGCCTTATAATTTATCTCCTGTGCTATAACTATATAAACAGGAGTAAAAAAGAAAGAGGTCAGATGTTGATGTCCTGCCAGGTTGAACTGTTGTTCTATAGACCTTTGGGTGCAAAGGGAAACTAATTGGCTGTTACCCCCCCCCCCCCCCCTCCCCC